TTAAGTAATATACAGGCAAATATGGTATAAGAATCACATGGGCAGTTCCATATTAATAATTTTATTAAATCAGTTAAATTTCGACCGTGCAATACTTTTGATACCCCTCTGTATAAATAACCCGAAAAGAATGTCACTCGAATGACGTGGCAAATGTAAATCGCTCGTCATAGATGGGATAGTTATAAGTGGTATATTTGGAGTCTATATAGACTCCAAATATACCACTACTGTGAACTTTGTGGTAGACTAAAGAGAAATAGGAAAGGTTGCTTTTGTAATCTGTTAGAGAATAAACAATACAATCATTTTCTACAGAGGAAATAACATCTTGAACTTTTGGTTATCATTTGGAAAAGGAAACTAGAGAACTGGAAAAAGAACTAACAAGTGCTAAAGAAGAATTAAATATTGAGAGGAAAGAAGTAGTTAAATTTCACGAGAAATCAAAAGAATGAGGTGATGAGAAAATCAAGCAGATTAAAGAACTAGAAGCAGAGAATGCTAAGTTAAAAAAAGAAAATAAGCAACTAAAGGAGCAACAAAATGGTCAAATTGCTCAAATTGAAGTTAAGGAATCTAAAAGATAAAGTTGGTTGAAAGTTAAGAAGTAAGTTAAATTTCATAAGTAATTTTTTCTTGATCTAGATATGCCTGGAGAGTTTGGGTATTGTTAATTTTAAAAACATAAGGAGCAATTTTTTCTCCTTGGGCTTTCTTTAAAATACTTCTAATAGTGCTGTAATTCTTGGGTTCCATGGTAGATTTGATGTAAATTAGTCTCATATTATTATTTTATATATTAATATAGAGATAACCATATATTAATGTATATTAATCTTGTCATATGTTATGGTTTATAATCATTAAAATTAACAAGTCCATAAGTTATGAATGAGCACCATTATTACTATTACTTTTCAAAACGTCATCAGTCATACTGGTCAATTTTACAGCCACATCATAATCAGCCTCTCATTTACATCACATAATCAAATGTTCACTTTGTCTGGTTTTGTTGCAGCATGGGGAAAAAATTACCTTCGATCCAGATGACTTAAAAATTGAACCAATTAAGTTTCAAGCATACACATGAGTTGTTTTATCAAATAGGGGAGGACTATTGTCAATCATCGAAGCCGCTTACCAAATTTGCAAAATATCAGGCTTGAAGAGCTCTACGAAAATGATTGGATTTTGTTACATAAGAAGTACGGACACCTAATGGTTTATTATGGGACAAATACGTACATACAATGTGGGACCGGACGATCGAGAAACACGTCTAGCCTACCCAGATTTGTGACGCGTAAAATGTAAAATAAAGCACGAGTTAAAACGACTCAATTTTGATACTTTTGTGTTTATTATGATTTCTGCTCTTCGGGAAAAACGTTCACATAGCGATTCGATGCCAACGAAATACATCAATGCACGAACATACTGTAAATAACAACTTTAAAAAACTCAAAACTTAGGAACAGTAAAGCATGCAGGTGGTGAATCGTCGATTAAGGAAGATTACGGAAAGGCCTCAAAGCATTAGGACAATATATTCGCAGGGATTTCAGCAACAAAGAATTAAATATAAATGTATTGGTTCTTTATAGAACAGTTAGAAGACATTTGGCCGGTGCTGAATACAAGAAGAATTTTGTAATGGCCAATCCACAGTTGTATAGCGACCACATCTATATACTCCATATCGCATCATCATGAACATCGAATCTCAACCTCAAACTCAGAACAAAGGCTTATTTTCTGTGAAGGTCATGGTCCGTACCAAGCCACAGGTGGAGATCTTATTTTTATATAAAACCGTTTCCAATCCGAGATATTATCGTTGCGATTGGCTAATATAGGCTCAGACAGATTGGGAATGGGGCAAATCAAACGCTATCTCGCATGGCTGATATGAACAAAGCAGTTGTTGACACATTATAAATGGGCATACTTGTGCTTGTGTATGCCAAGTTTTATTTGTGTCATTGGATACCGTTAAACTTGTATCGTTACGCGTCAAGAATGTGCAGCAATAGGGGATAGATTTTCGAGGAATATCGACAAGCAATGAACCATGTGTGTAAGTTTTGGAGGAGTGTCAGAAATTTTCTTCAGTCGAAAAATTCGTGCAGGCGTGGGTATCGCATCGATCAAAGTATCAATCACGGTGAAGAGTTGAGCAAGATTATCTTACCGCATTGTCCGGAAACCAATTTGTGGAAGCATGCGAACATAGCTATGCAATTTATTAGGAACAATAGCTTCAGACTCATTACTAATTTCATAACGACTTTATATTTATCGGTATCCCTGACTAATATTTACATGGAAGCATATAGTTTTTAATTTATTTAATAGAAAGAAGAGTAAAATCCTTGAATGAAACACAATAAACCGTGATTCAAAAAGTTTATTCGAAAGAGTGAGTTATTAAATAATAAGCAATGGATGCTCATATTGTATATTGGGATTCTGTTTATATGAACAGAACCAATAGTTGTCTTCGTAACCGACATTAAATTCAAACTACCTTCCTTACTCCTCGTCAACTTTCCCTAACTCTGCCTCTAAACTTGGCAAACTGAAATCTGACAAGGGAGGTAACTGTTGAGAATTACTTTTTGATTTAAACAGATCTCCTGTAGGTAAGAGCGTGCTAGAATATTTACTCTCCTTCTCGAGACGTGATAAGGGTTTTACATCGTTTTGATAGATAGCATTCCATGTGTCACTGACGGAATTGTTATTGTCCACCTCGTCAATCAGCTTGTCAATATCGCGCCAAAGTGTATATGCATCAGAACGCTTATCAGGATCAGCATCACAACATCGCTCGGCAAGTTTCTTGTATTCCTCTGGTGCGGAATCAGGCATCGATGGTCGTAGTCCGCCCACAATATCACATACTAAATCTGTGTCAAACTGCCTACCTCTAAAAGGCGGTTCACCAGTAGCAATCAAATACATAATGATACCAAAAGAATACACATCAGATTCCTGAGTATATTTGCGGGTATGGAAGAGTTCCGGTGCAATAAACGGCAAAACGCCTCGAACGGTTGAATTTTGTTGACGCGAATCCACAGATCGTGACAGACCAAGATCACATATGAATGGGGCACCTGATCCAACACGACGTTCATCATGCATGATTATGTTTCCACCATGAAGATCGCAATGAACTAAACCCGCATTATGAATAGTATACAGATAACGCGCAATATCCCTCAAACATTCTAATTTCATTCTCCACGTCAATTTGTTGATATTTTGATTCAAATAAGACGAAAGACTACCGTTGTTTGCATGTTGCATGACAATTATATACTCTTTGGTTTCTGGGTTTTGTGTGACTCCATAAATTTCAAGGAATGGATAATAATAATCCCTGCTTACGCACTTGGCAGCATTCAGGAACTATAAATATAAAATAAAAATAAAAGTAAACACAAGTGTCAAATTAAATATCACTTTGATTAATACATCCAATTATTGCTTACCTCGGAAAAAAACAATTCTGGTGTTTTATCAAAACCCTTGAACCGTTTGAGTACAACAGTTTCTTGCATGTTCCTTATTTCTGAATAGTTTTTATATTTGGCAGTATAAACTGATCCATAGCCACCAGATCCAATCTCTTTGAGTTCATCAAAGTCGCTATACGGCATGTACCTGACACTATCGTATCGTTGTAGAATCCTGTCCAATATTGGACGTATCTCATGATAGAAAACCAAATAATATTCCCGAGAAGATGGCTTCCGAGTGATCCCAATTATCAAAATATTCTCAGGTGTTAATATTTCGGGGTATTCTTTGGTTAGCTATTTGAGTACACAAAATACTGTTGTTACAACACTGGTCGTTTAAACTCATCTGCATTGTTTTACACGTGAAATGATTTACCTGATGAAAATCTTTGTTTTGTTCGTTGACTATCTTTTTGAGTGTCACATGCGTCAGTTCATTTGTTACTAAGCATGCTATATGTGTGCTTCCATGGCGTAATGATGCCATTTCTTGAACGTTTATCAATAGAGAGTGTTCAATCCATTGGATATAGGCATCATATTCATGCTTAATATTACTCCATGACTCCATAATAAATGAATCCAAAGACTTGTTGCCAGTTGTCCAATCGACTGGTTGTGGTGCTTTACATTCATAACAGAATGCATTTATCTTGGGGTTTAACGAACATGTACACGCCAAACATAATTTATGCCCATATTTGTCTTTTATTAGACAATACTTGTGTTCGCTCGCATCGTATGTAAATCCGATGATGTCCCAAACATCCGTGGCAAGAATATCTGGATGATTATCACACAACTACAAGAAATGAGACACAAGTCAATATTATGGATTAACATATATTTCTGCATACGAGTATTTGATGGTCACCTTGTCATAATATAAATCATGTGTCTCGTTTGTTATCTCGAGTGGAATCAATTTACCACTATCATTAATAGTAGGTAGACCATAAAAATATGCAGATCCATATCCCCTATCATTAATACAATCAGATGGAATCCATTCCAAATAGGCGTCATTTGCTGAGCTTGTTTGTAGTTGAGATTCATTGATAAGCTCATCGAGTTTTTTATTGTTGCTAGTCCATCCATCCGATAGTTCTTTACGTCCACAAATGCACCACACGGGACTACACCGGAGTATTCCGCATGCGGAACAGAAGCCATATCGAGAATAACAATGATAAAAGCGTTTATCAGCAACCATGTAATAGTTTCCGTCAAACTTGGTAAATCCTTTTATGAATTTGTTGCGATTCGTAAGCCAGTTGGAATGTCTTCTAAACTCGCTAACGTCATGGTTGTACTTGTGTGTTGGAAGTGAGTATATTCTGGCAAAGTTATTCACGATTGCTGGTGTACACTCTTCGCTACTTCCAAGTAATACCAGTACATTGTCAAGAACATAATAGACATTGTCAATTTGAGTTGGCTTTATGTTGGTGATTTCCTCATAAGGAATCCATTTCAGTCTTAGGTTTAAATTTTCACTTTCCAAGGAGAATTGGACCAAATTGTCAATTGCTGGATTATTAACAGTGCCTGATGTTACCGACATGGTTTGAAGTAAAAAGGTTTTATATTTCAAGTGAACAAATCTTCAAGCATCGCTTAATGTAATAACTGACGAACCTAATGAATTAGCTACTGTAACAGAAATATATTTGTATTACATTACACATTACTTGTTTGACATATTTTCTATTGCATACAACTACGGGTATATTGATTATCTACATGTTAATGTTGAACGTGTATGCTAGAAACGGAAAGATCACCAAACATATCTTTGTTGTTTGTTTTCATAGACCCTGGATAACATTTTTAATTTTATCAGAACAGTCTCCGTTGCAACAAAAATGGCATAGCTGATCTCTAGGGCTTCTAATCCTTTTTCAACAGGAACTCGTCTTCCTCACTATTCTGATGTTTATGTAATAAGTACGTCACATGATAGTATATTCCCATCTTTTTAGTGAATTTGATATATATAGCACAATGATGATATAAAATTATATTCACAATTGTTTTCAAACGGCGCGTTCATTAAATTATTAAAACAGACTCTGGAATTTGAATAAGCGCTCTATACTTCAATGTGCCAGTCTTTAAACAATATCGCACGGTTGCAACTGGTATCTTTGTGAAAACCCGACGACTCCATTCTAATAATGCGATGACGAGAGTTACTGTCGTTAGTTATTTATTTAGGATGCTTAATAGACAAATATGACGCGGTCTGAGCTGAAGTTAACCATTGCTCAATTTTATGCGTTGGTACGAGCAACGTTAATGTAGTTTAACGTCAGTATATAAATTGTCACAAAGTCATTCGGTTTATCAACTTGGTTAATGCACGAATGTTTCCGCAGCAATACAAAATATTTTTGCGCTTACGGTTTACATCACTAACATTGCCATACACATTTTCGTATTCTATAAGCTCACGTTGTACGCATTTCCTGCTAGATAAACGACTGTAGTTCGTAACATAAGGTAAGACGATAACGCATTCACTCAACACAATGTAATACTATTTTTTTTTTCTCGAACAGCGCAGGAAATGCTTGATGTAAGTGACATCGATTTCAAAACATGGCTAGGTTTCCAAAACTTTTATGTACGTTTCTTACATGTTGGTTGCGAGTTCGCATCATTAAGCGTTCAGGCTGATGCGCCCGTGAGATGTAATCCTTATCCTTGATATTCTAGTAATTCACTCATACACCAGATCATAGATAGATCCAAACTTTCTGTCGGGAACAGCTAAACACTTATCTTTGATTTAATGGATTCGATCCCGGCGTGTACGTCCTCCGAGAGAATCGTAAATAGAACCAATTGGGTATGAACTTTGTATAACTTGTCAAGCCCATTTCATAGACACACGATTCTAGGAATGAGAATCTGAAAGATTGATTTCAAACACTCTCATATGTATTTATAGTTATTGTCCCCGACGTAGAGTAAAGACTACAATGTCGACCTCCCTCACTCTTCCGTAGCTTGATATATTTTCTTTTTTTTTGATTAAATTTCAAGTTTGATGCAAACGGACTATCAATCATTGAAGCGTGAAACGTTATAGTGAGATCATACCTCCCATATGTGATGAAAGCTGGGATATGAAAAGGGGGAAAAAAAAAAAGAAAAAAAAAACGAGAATAATATGGAAAATATACCTTGATCTCACTGATGGGGTAATTCTTGAATCAGCAAATCACTATTATTCAATAAAGCCGTACCATTTACTATTACTATTATCGTCAATATACCAAGGTATTACATCATCGTTACGTTACCAGTCCCGGAAGTGGGATATTATAACTAGCTCCCAGTCGCTATCTAGGTTTTGAAATCTGCTTTCGGGGAAGCGGTTTCCTCGGTAGGCTCTTGGCTAGAATTATCTAACAAACACTTCCACTTTTTCATCAAATCCGTACATCGGTCCTTTATCTTGTATGGATCAGGATCAATGTTTAGCGCGGCAATCTTCTTCATTAGTTTACCCATTTTGCTTTCCTGTAAAGAAAACGCAAATCAATTCATATCTCGCATATTCGACAATTCATGTCGTTCTCTATCACAAACCTTCAGTAATGGAATGGTAATGGAAAAGCTTTCAACTTCTCCAAAGAGTTGATGAACTTTCACTTGATCCTAAACAATATTGGTCAGTGAACAAAGGAAAAACACAAGCCAATCTGTCCACAACAAAAAAGCTTGTTACCATAACAGGATCTTTCAGCGTTAATTTCTGAAGTTTATGCCGCAGATGAACTAGCTTCTCCGTAGGTGTAGCTGCGAGTATTCGAATTCAGTTGAGCGAGTTAAAACGTATATACATGAACGCCAATAAGAAAAGTTAAAGCTTTGGCTTACAGGCTTTTGGGGCTTGCGCTTTGCTAGAACGAGGGTTCGGTTCTGCTTCAGATTTTTTCGATTTCGCGTTGGCACTCGGTTCCTCATCCAAGGCATTTGGCCCGTTTGAACCTTCTCCAGCGAATCCGCTCTCGGATTTTCCTTCAGAACCCGTTTCATCACTATTTGATGCTTGCTCACTGTTCTTGTCTTTCGACACACGACGCTTCTTCAAATGTAGAACGATGCAAACAATAGATTGAAAGTATGTGCAAAGAATAAAAAAAAAAAGATTAATTCAAACTGCAAAGCTGTCGTCCATATTAAACGTTGATATACCTTTCTGGAATTCTGGTTTCGTATTTTGTCTTTTCCTTCATCTTTACCATTCTGATCAATATCCATAGCTTCTTCTTCGTCGTCGGTATAGTCGATTTTTCTCTGCTTACGTTTTGTCGATTTTGTAGCGGCAGTTGATGACTTTGTGGTTCCCGATTTTGCGGATCCTGATTTTGCAGTTCCTGATTTTGCGGCATTTTGCTTAGCTGATGCAGTCGATGCACTTTTCGAATTCCTACGAGACCTGGTTCCTCGTCCCTTTGATCGTTCTTCGGTACTTTCATCGTGTGAAGAATCGGACGATCTCTTACTCACGCCGTCAACGTCCATTTCGTTATTGGATGATTCTGGCGTAGCCTCGGCCTCTTCGTCGCCGCTCTCATCGATATTAGATACTAAATCCAGTGCTTCCATGAATGATCTTTCCAATAATTCCTTTCTTTTCCCTTTTAGTTTCTCAAGAGATTCTTCCGCAACTTGTTTATCGAATTCTCGCAATTGCCTCGGTGGCATCCAAGCACTAGGATAGAATTTGCCATACGAATTCGGTTAGGTAATCATGATAAAGGAACTATTATACCTAACGCTCTACACTGATTTGTGAGAACATCTTCTAACCAAGGAATCGTTATATGCGAACGGGAAGATTCATGGAATGGGTATAGTCGGTTATTCTCATGTAATAACCGCGTTAATTTCACATTGCTATATAAATCCTAACACTAATAGCTCGCTCTCTACGTAGGCTATAGGCAATACGGTCTTCTCATAAGAGAAAGAACGCGAGGATCTAAAACACGTACTAGTCCTTAGTTCCAAAAAACCGCACACTCCAAACTTTCTGTGCCCCTTTTGGCTTCTGTGAAAGCACAGAAGACGGAAGCTCTGATTCGTCTTCAATCTAAACGGTGTAGGGTGGCATAACGAGGTATTAGTAAACGATTCTTCCTTGTGATCGTCAGTTTTAAAAGTCAAATGCTTTTTAACCTATTTAAATTTCGTGAAAACGGGCGATTTGAATAATAAAGGTATTGGTTTGTTACTTACCCTCGCAGGCCACCATGGATAGCCTCTTAATTTGGCGTATACCTTGTTTCCTGGTTGATAAACTTGTGTCATATTGTAGACGAAAGAAAGTAGAGTCGCGACTAAACACTTCACAAGTATGGGGAAAAAAAGGTTCCACAACTGACCACTCGTTTAACCCCGTAATTTCCTTGGGAATAGGGCCGAATTTGAGGGTCGTCGCTGGCTAGCATGCCTAAGAAACCAATGATAGTAATAGTAAAATTTATCCGTTTTGTGATACATCGACGAAAGCTGTAAAAAGTAAGCAAGATTTCCTTTTCAAGCACATAGACATGCCCTTGCTTTGGCTGAATTCAGTGGCATATCCTATTGGTCACATGATAGTTTTGTTCACGGGATTAACAATACATCTAACTTTTTATGGTATAGCACTAGACGTTAACTGATAACGCCCATATTAACATTAGTCATAGTAAACAATATTTGTGCAGCGATCGGATAACTATGCGTCACATGGGAATCAATAGCTAGTAATATTGTATTAGTGATATTTCTTGTGCTCCACAAATATTTATGTGACCCTGATAACAAGTTTATCTTTACTAACATCGACAGACACTATCCTAAATAATTTGTGATTATCAAATATTCATCACGTAACTAGAATGGGTCGATTATACGTAGTAAATAACTGGTAGTAAAAATATCGACGATCGAAAGTATTGTACTTTTACACAAATATTACAATGATAGTGAAAACTACGGATTGCTATATTAAAACGACAAGATACCGTACTGGTAAAATGCAAATCGAAGAACGCCTGCGCGTAAATAGATACATAACAATAAATTAAATCTAATGTGCAGGACGGACGGCATCTGAATAATTACAAATACGTTGTAATTGTTGTTTATTACTTTAGCATTTGTAGCGGTAACAATTGATACTAGAGCATATAAAATTTGTCTCTTACATCTAACGCGAGTAGTTTATCAATGTCATTCGATAATTCTTCAAATTATTTGTTTATGGAAAGAGCACGGCTAGGATCGTATACGAATGCTTCTGGAAAGATTTATAATTTAATTACATAATAATAAGGAAAGATTAGATGGTCCCCCTAAGAACGACCAGATGATGGGACCGAGCCTATAATTATCGGATTCGAAATAGCTCTATTTCTTTTTGCTGAAAAACTATTCAAACATGTCAATCACACAAAATAAAGCCTACGGGTTTTTCAATTTCCATCATTTGATTCCACTCCTCTAAATGCACGTCGTGTAAAATGTTTATTGAGTCACGTAAATCAATAAAAATTTGCTAGTCACATGCAACCACGTTGTAACTACCCCAAGATTTTCAGAAATTGGTTTACAACGTCGTCGTACATGCGGTCACGTTACTGTAACCAATTTGGGGTAGTTGAGAGAACTTCAATAAAGAATCTATTTGCGACACAATATTTCAAAGTTGATGACTGGCTGAAGACGTCGTACATACAGTCACGTTACTGTAAGGATCATTTAACTAAGCCACCAATCCCTCCAAAAAGATAATCAACGATAGAATGAATAATCATGCCTTCATTATTACGGTCCAGCGGCCTATTACATTGTTCAAAATCCCATGCCGACGATATGCAACAGTGGTATTGACACAGCCTCGTTCACGAGTGGGACTGGGGACGATATCAGATAATCCAAAGGCAACGCGGAGAGTACGTGAATTAACGATAAACTGGCGTGTCGACAACAATATGCTCTTTCAATCAGATCTGTCTCCGACGAATACAAAAATAAAATCCATAACTCTCATTATATCATCATCAGCGAAAACGGGTAGGGAGAGGTCCTTCTTCTGGTAAGGGTAAGACCGCTGGTCGTGGTCAGAAGGGTGCAAAGTCACGACCAGGGAAAGCAAACCCGTATCCTGGTTTTGAAGGTGGACAGACGCCACTAACAAGGTTATTCCCTAAGCGTGGCTTTCACAATCCGTAAGTGTCTTTCCAACTTTTCCGACAGAAAGTTTTTCAAAAAAGCTTACCAAGTTTTACATTTTCAGAAATCAAAAAATCTATTCAGTAGTAAACCTCGATCGTCTTCAAAATTGGATTGACAGAGGTAGGATAGATCCCAGTCAACCCATTACGATAAAGGAGCTTGCTGATACACGATGTGTTCGTGGGGTTAAAGACGGAGTAAAGTTGCTCGGTGATGTGTGTAAGAATTTGCTTATATCGATTGTTGATGGCAAAAGATAGCGCTAGAACTTTAGAATTAACTCATGGATCTTGCAGGGCGCAGAGTTTTTCAAATCGAAAATTGATATCGAAGTTTCCAAGGCCTCAAAGCAGGCCATAGAAGTTGTTGAGGGATTGGGTGGAACAGTCACATGCAGATACTTCAATAGACTGGCTCTGAGAGTGATCCTACATCCGGAGAAATTCTGGAGAATACCAAAATTCGCCTTGCCGACAAAGGCGCGCGATATCGGTAAGATATTTGTCGTGACATTTTTTTGCTTGTCTACTTATTAACCGAAAAAAAATATATTTCTGTTGTTCTTAGCATGGTATTCGGACCCAACAAATAGGGGCTACTTGGCTGACTCGGTTGCGTTAGAAACTGAGAGGGATATTCTCAGAAAAGAGTATGCGGCAAAGAAACAAGCCAAGTCTTCCCTTTCTTTAGCTCACTCGCCAATAAATGAAAAGTCTGCAGAATAAATTTCACAATTTAGTCAACCCCAATATCGTCGATTTCCTGTTTAAATTGATCAGCCGACTAAAGTAATTATTCATTAATTAATTTGTTAATTAATAATGCTAGACTCCGCTTTTATTTCAAAGAAGCTGATGCTTTAAACTGCTTGACATTTTCTGGTTATAAAGTCAACCGCAAGGAGATCATTTTGTTACTACTTGGTTAATTCTTCCAAAGCGCCCATCATTTACTTTTACCGAGTTTCTGACTCTTCATTATTGAGCTTCTTCACTGCTTACAACTTCCTCATCTGTCATTGGCTCCTCACTCAACTTGGTTGTCAACCAGAATATTAATATACTTCTATCCCTAGACTGTATATGTAGGCTGTGAGTTATCCATAACATTTTCTTCCACTCTGTAATAGTAAAAAGAAAACTTTAGTCATTCTAATTCAAAGCAACAAAGTGAACATTTATTATGTGATATAAATAATAAATAAAAGGTCGGAGCGGCTGAAGATTAACTATTTGACTAATGACATTTAAATACTCACTGTCTTAATTATCTCATGCCAAATGTAACTAGCATTTAATTTATCAAGTTGAAATGTTGCCTACACTTATGAAATCCGTCAGATACAGAAACGAAAGATAAACACCAACTTATGATGAACCAAGAAAGACGAAAAGTTGAGGAAACATAGGGAAAACAATTTAGAGCCTACCAGGGCTCTACTAGTCGAGCAATCTATCAATAAAAAACAGTCTTTAGTTTGTTGTCTATAGGCCGCTTCGGTGCATCCGTTGAGTTTGCACAGCAAACTTTAATTTTCGCAAACATGATTTTAATATATTTATTATAGAATGCAATCAATTGCTTTTAAGATATAAAAAACAATAGAGCACCCGTGTGTTGCATGACTCAGTCCCAAAAATAAAAAACCATCGATGAGCATATCCTATTTCTTGGCAAACCCTAATCTAGGAAATTCTATTAGACAAAAATTCGGGACATCACAAAACAAGGTTCATTGTGTAATATGTTAATAAAATTCTACAACTACGTAGTAAAATCAATTATATTTATTGTTTACAATAATTAAGATAACCCGTTTACTAGTACTAGGAGCGCTAATAAAACACTCTTAAAAACGCATAGAAATTTATTGCCCCCATACACTCTCGACTATTGATCATCGTTTGTTATTGTTTTTCTATTATTCTGCGTCATTGTTGCTGATGGAAGTGTTGATTGTTATTGCTTAGAACTGGATAGGCCTTATGATAGTTAGAGTAACATATTAGAACATACTCAAAATAATAATAAACAGTTACAGTTGACAAACAAGCTTATTAATATTAAATATAAATTTACTTATTGATAAACGTTTGATAGAAAATAAATTAGCAAATTTGCAAATAGCTTGAGGTCATTATGACTACAGCTATGATTGCCAGCTCTAAACACAACTAGTACTAGTGCCTTATAAAAACTTTTGTTTCTTTTTGGCTGGATAAATTTCAGTTAACTCTTGAATCTTTCTTTTTAACTTGGACTTATCATTATATGTAAAAAAATAAACCTTATTTTGTGCCTTAATGTACCCTAGTTCAGCAGCTTTTTCATATAATTCAATAGCTTTCCGTTCATCTTGTTTTACTCCAATTCCCTCCTCATAGCACCAACCAAGATTATATTGTCCATATGCATGCCTTTTTTCAGCTGCTTTTTGAAACAATTCAACAGCCTTTTGAATATCCCTTTCTACCCCAATTCCGTTTTTGTAACATAAACCAAGACTAACATATGCAGAAACATTTCCTTGATTGACTGCTTCTTGATACAGTTCCACTGCTTTTTGAACATTTTTATCCACACCAAGCCCTTTTTCATAACACCAACCAAGATTATCCTTTGCATCAGAAATTCCCTGCATAGCTGCTTTTTGATACAATTCAAAAGCTTTTTGATAATCAGTCTTCACACTAATACTTTTTCTATATAAATAACCAAGCTTAAACTGTGCACCAGCATCACCTTGTTCAGCTATTTCTTGATACCAACCAGCCGCCTTTTGATCATCTTTCCTTACTCCAGTTCCATACTGGTAACACCAACCAAGATTATATTGTGCATCAGCATATCCTTGTTCAGCAGCTTTTTGATACCATTCAACTGCCTTTTGTTCATCTTTTTCTACTCCAATTCCATTATCATAACACACACCAAGACCATATTGTGCTCTAGCATGTTCTTGTTCAGCAGCTTGTTGATACCATTCAACTGCCTTTTGTTCATCTTTTTCCACTCCAGTTCCATTTCTATAACAGTAACCAAGATTACTCTGTGCACCAGCATCACCTTGTTCAGCAGCTTTTTGATACCATTCAACTGCCTTTTGTTCATCTTTATCTACTCCAGTTCCATGCTGATAACACACACCAAGATTATATTGTGCATTAGCATATCCTTGTTCAGCAGCTTTTTGATACCATTCAACTGCCTTTTGTTCATCTTTTTCTACTCCAGTTCCCTTTGCATAACATACACCAAGATCAGATTGTGCATTAGCATATCCTTGTTCAGCAGCTTTTTGATACCATTCAACTGCTTTTTGTTCATCTTTTTCTACTCCAGGTCCATCCTGATTATGCAAACTAATAACATCATCAGAGTAACCAATCTTAGCACGATTGCCTGACAACTTCCATTTGATATAAATACCTTCAACTTCTTTGCTAAATTTGTAACAGTAATAATTAGAGAAGGAAGCATAATAATGTACTAAGAAGACAGTACATAATGGAGAACTTACAGAAACTCATCCCATTCAATTTCAAGAGAAAATCCATAAATGCTGGCAAAATATAGTGTTACAGCTACATTACATCTTTCCCCATTGCGGTAGACTTCCACATCAATTTTATATACATCGCTCAATAGTGGTTGAGAGAAATTGACTTGACAAAGATCGGCACAACGAGGATCAACTGGTGATTCTCCAGTCATGAGTATTTCTGTTTCGTCACTAAATAACATTTCGACCTTGGCAATTAAAGATTCATTTAGAAATTTATAAGTTGGAACAAAGTCAGCGCGTTCAATTATGCTCCATTGGCGAGGCGTTCTCGGACTGTATTTTATCCATTCGCTGATTTCCCTACAATATTAGCACGTTAAATTTTTGCTAGAAAAAACCCCCTCCAAATCTCGGTAATATTCTTACTCGACTTTTATTAAAGAATCGTCTGCGGAAAATAAGTAGTCGCTCTCAAGTGGATGTATTCTCTTTGACCATTTGTTGAGGATTTCGTCGTCTAAATAGTCTCGCCATATTTGGGGGAAAAGTTAGCACTTTTTCAGACAGTCTTAGTTTGCAGCTCAATTAAGATCCTCACCTATCCATTCTGTTTGATGTAATTCAACGCCTTTTGGATAATCGTCTTGTCCAATTTCAGAACAGAATTGAGAAAAGCGTTGTAACCTGCTGCCCACCGTAATTTTGCAATTCATCCAATATCCGTACTCGGAAAATACAGCGTCCAATTTTGCATGCGTTGCATTATGCTCAATCGCTTGCTTTATTGCTTCAACAAATTCATCAGTCGGTTTGACGTCTTTGCGTTTAAGATTGATGTTCCATAGTTCTTTATCTATTCGGAAGATGACCGCCCTGTCGGCCGTCACATCATACAAAGGATTGTTTTCTTTAAAATGAGAAAATGGTTCCGAGAGATTAAAGAAAGGGTCATCTTCAACAAGTGTAAGGTTATTTGCATACATATAGGTATCCCGCACTCTGTGAGTGCTTATAAGCTGTACAGAGGGTTCTGTCTTTGATGATACTTCGATGGACAAATTTGCTTGAATCGCACATTTATTTGCAAGACGCAAGCCGCGTTGATCAAACAGTAAACCATGACATAGTAATAACCCAAAATCCTCGATTATATGATCTGGAATAGTGGCCATTTCGGGTTTCTCACTTCGCTTAATGAAGAGATTATTGTTATCACCGATTATCTCGTGAAGACAAATATTTGCTTCTTCGCTCTCTTGTATCAAATGCTGGCGTTCTTTGTTACAAAAGTACATATCGGACTTCATGATGGATTTGCCATTTTTGTTACGTTGAGAGAGCTTCTCACGGATTTTCTCGAGTGTCATCGATGTATCTAATTTCACCGCTGTCGGCTCTTTTGAATAAGGGCAATCGAGAAAATTTATATTAATCAGTCTGGCCATAGTCTTCGACTGTTGAGGAAATTATCCCTTGACCTAAATGATGGTGGGGGCAGTAGAATGACGATTCATCGAGGACTGAAGTTGTGTCACTAAACATCTCCCGATACGATTTGATGATAACGCAATCTTGTGTAACAGTGCGGTTGTTAGTATTACTGTATTAGATAGTCAAACATTGGTTCGCTCCGTATACTGAAAAATATTTCTACATAAAAATAAAGAAATATCTATTTTGTAAAAAATGAATATGAAAGAAAAAAGTAATAAAAAAGTTTGATGTATTTTATGATTATAGTTGCTTCGAAGTTTGTTTTACTATTACTGTTGAAAGTGATTGGCAAATGATCAGCAGAAAAATTTTTTGTTCGCAATGCTTTTGTGACACTATCGATAAATCTAGGCGCACAACATGTAAAATTTACAATAAAAGGGGCTTGTTCGATGTTTTCTAAAGCTACTTGCACAATCTTTTCTATAAATTCGGGAAGTTTAGGGGATTATTGCCTCACAGTTGAAGACTAGAATGGACATCTTATTTAATAGATGCAGAACGATTAATATAAGTTTTCTCAATTGCCCATATTCGGAAGAGCCGACAGCGATGAAATTAGATACATCAATGACACTCGAGAAAATTCGTGAGAAGCTCTCTCAACGTAACAAAAATGGCAAATCCATCATGAAGTCCGATATGTACTTTTGTAATAAAGGAGGGCCGTATGTGATACAAGAGTGCGAAGAAGCAAATATTTATCTCCACGAGATAATCGGTGATAACAATAATCTCTGCATTAAGCGAAGTGAGGTACTTAAAGAAGTAATGCCTCGTTTGATTAAAGAGAAAAAGTTAGATTGTGGCATTTACTGGGCCGAAAGGGGACCAAAACAGTCTGATAATGCAGCCTTCAAGTTTATTAAAGAACCTGAATTCGCAAAACATCCCGCTGGCTTTAGTAAATCTGAATTTAAAAATAATAGCGAAGAGTTTTGTGAAAATGGCATTGGATGGAAATTTGATTTGAAGGTGTCATGGTAAGATTTTTTTTTACGAGTAACTTAATGCATAAACATAATAACAATTGATGATATTAGGTTACCATTCACTGGCTCGATAGGCGCACATTTTGCGCAAAGAGGATCAAACGGAGTTGAACATAAATCACGCCGGATAGTCGAACAATATAGTCGAGTGACATTGTTTATGAAAAGAGAACATGTAAAACCTTCTAACGAATTTAGAGATGATGTAGAGCAAGCTTTGAAGTTGAGCAGTCGAAAGGAGAAGCGTGATGCATTAATTAAAGTTTGCGAGACGTATGGTTTTTTTTGGGCGAGTGTGGTACAACTAGGAGGGTCAATTATTAAATATCAAAAAGAGCATAAAGAAACCAATGTTCAATTAACTGATAGAACAATGGATGCCAATTTCATGTTGGAAAGCACACCAATGGGAGTAGGTGCTGGAATAAAGCAGAATAATGAAACGTTGAATCAAAACTCATTTAGCAATACAGAAGAGAATAGTGTGGTTATTGGTGGTCATGATCAAGCTTGCGGGAATGATAAAGGTATTAAAATAAACCTATTTTTTTTTGTTTTTGTTATATGACTAAACTTGTTTTCTCTTCTTTTAAGAGCAATGGCTTAAAACGCTTCACGATTACTTTACCTGGGAGATAGTATGTTATGAAAACATAGTTCCGATATTTGAGATTTTTGAAGAAAGTATGCGAACTGCTATTTTAGAAGCATTTGGGCCAAGAATTTGTCACTATGGTATCGATGAATTGAAGCCTTCAAGATATCCATGGGTGCGTCAACTAAAAGTCAAATCTGATGTATGGAAACAAATTCACAAGCATCAAGTTTTTGCAGAAGTCATATGTGATGACAAGAGTAATGCAATATTTGCTGTGAATATTGAACAAATGGCAAATGGACCACCAAAGGCATTTGTCTCCAAAGTTCGGGGACATAACAGTATATTACCATTTGGGAAGACGTTGAAAATAGCCTACATTATCACAGGATATCCACAATCGTTCTCCCAAGCGGTAGATAAATTTGTTGAGGTTGATGTTGTTGAAGGAGAAAAGAGAGATAATAAGTTTGTTGCTTCATTACCAAAGACTCCAAATATTCAAGATTTTGATCAACGAGTTGTATTAGTTACTTGCTATGTAACAAAGCAAACTATATTTGCAGTGCACCTCCACAAGGATGATACTGATATTACTGAAGTATGTGTGTCCGGTAAGTATTTATATTTTGGATTATTATTATACTATGGTATCTATTATTATTATATTTAATATTAAGGTTAACTTTGGACTTGTTGTAATGGTTATATTAATATGCAAATATGTAACAAGTCAGTAACACTGTCATCTATTCATTATATGCATAATAATAACAGCCTACAAGCGTGGTAATAGAGGTTCTTACAAAATAGAGATGTTGCCACAACAAACCATTAAAATTGCTTACTGGTATGCATTACATCACTGTTGAGACTTTGGTTTTTCCAATACTATTGGTTACTGACATGTTAAAATTAATAGTATTATTACAGATAAAGGACAAAATGGTGAAACTGAATTTGAACTTAAGAGTAACAAAGTCGCACAGAGAATTCTGTTTTCAAATCAAAATTGCAATAGTAATAGTGTATTTACAAGTATAGTGCTTCCTTCAAAACAATGTGTTTCTGTATTTAAGTCAACTACCAGTAAGCATATATTATGTTGTGCTGAACAAAATTGCAGCGATATCTTAGGAAGTTGTATTTATTTTCATCATAAAATTGATGGTGATTGCGTTAGTATTGGCTCAACCGTTTCAAGATATAGATAAATCCTCTATATCTAAGTGTACACTGGGACATTTAGAGGAAATAGTAATTCGAGTAACTATAACATCATTAGTTACATAATAGGAACGATATTAATATATTTATCAAAAATATTGATTTAGGGTTGTTCGTTTCATTTGACTCTATTAACAAATCTTTCAAGACTGTTTAATAATCTTATCCGCCTTGTAACAAAAACAATCCTACATTTTCTAAGCTCTTTAATGCACTCCTGACACTTACAGTTACAGTGGGAATTTCAATGCTGTTATCCATTTCTTCAGCATTCACCTCATCAACATTTCCAATAAATTGGCTATAAAAAATGTGACGTAATTTGGACAGAACAAATATTTGAATCGAAGAGCTAACGAAATTCTACGTGTTGGTTATACAGCATTAACAGAATAATTTCCGCACAAATTTTAAGCCGCCGTTTAATAACCACATTATAAGCAATTTGATTAAATTTTCCATTCTCATAACATTTAACTGCCTTTTCAGACAAATTACTATTCGCATATCCTGTTCACGCAAATTTTGATAGATTTCGCGTCTGAGAATGTAACCGCGATATAATCACTGTCAGGCATACAATTGTACTGTCGATTGAAACTTCATTTGCTTTATCTTGGTTTTTATTATCAATTCTCGGACGCATATAATCGATGGGCCTTCGCATAAGCGAGTTGCAGCTTTTTACTGGTCGAGAAACGGTAATATCACGTGACATTGGGAGCGTGGTGGTCGAAATTAATAATACTGATGCCGAAGGTCGCTTAGTCTTGGCCGGAATTGATATTATTGTGGGAGCCGATGCCGAAATCCAGCATCAGCCGCGCGACATTAAATATAGATTACAAGAGGGCGATTAAGTGGATGATCTAATAATAATCAAATAATTAATTTTTCCATAAAGTCTTTTACAATCGCAGGTAAACGGATTTCAATGCTTCTCTTACATACAATACAAAATAGCTCTTGCGACTATCGCGCATGTCCTTGTTCTTCTTATCCTACATGAGTTGCAATCCCTTGAGTTAAAAATGTTCGCCAAATGAAAATATTAATTACTCCATATAAACATCGAGTCATACTTAAGTCGAGAACAGGCCATCATGTTGTTGCAATCTCTGTTACGCCTTCGTTCGTTCCGCTAGGATTTTTCATTTTGACAACATCCTTCAACCAGACCTATAACTCTGTCCATCCTCCAACTTGACTCCATAATCAGCGACATCATCCATACAGCGTAGAGGTTATCTTGTCAGGATTCACTAAACAAACCTAAACACTCGGTCTTCGGCATTTGTATCGTCACCCGTTTCAGCAAATGCTTTCCGCGATTCGTGGCGGATGCCAACATCTCTTGAGCACAGCATCAGTGTATCCCAAATCTCCAGTAACCTATTCCTACATTGGGATCCTTCACGCTTCATCCAGTTCCGTGACTGACCTGTATTCTAGAATCAATAAAACATCGGCCGACACTAATAGTTTGCTTCATCCTTTATCAGTCTGTATCTTGAATTGTTCGAGCAAAATCCTTGATTGTGTAACTTGCATGCTGTTTGAATAATCGCTTTTGGATGTGTAGAAGTGTGTAGATCATATTCTGCGGGGTTACTAAATCCAGTCGAGGTATCAGAAGCATGCCCGCGTGGATTATAGTACGCCGTTTCTAGTTTTTTCAACTCTTCTATGACGTAATGCATAGTCGGACAACTCCCGGCCAACATTTCTGCATTATACTTACATGCTTTCCTGGTGTACCGAAAATTATTGGCGGGGGCAGAGTATCTGAATCTTTTAACATGGTATATACTTCGTCAATGGTTTTGTGCGGGAAAGGAATCTCATGAGAAATTATTTCCCAGATAGGCATGTCAAAGCTACGTATTTAAACAAAGAATTAGTTACTTATACTAATGTCAATCGTTTAACTTTTTGCTGTGAACAGTGATATTACAAACTTGCCTGTATACATCGGCTGACATAAAATAAGAAGCGTGTATCCTTTGTTTTTTCAGGACATAACCATCTGACATCATCAATCTCTTCAGTAACTGAAATCGGAGCGTCTTGTATTACTGATTTGTTCATATCCACGATCACGGTATGACTAAAAAAAGTTCTAGTTAGGCTGCACACTAGAAAAAACCCTAATTCGATATTGCAATACTCTTTTCCTACCTGAGTATATGTGACAAGTAGCAAGCGCGCTCTTGCTAATCGCTTTGGGGTTTCGTTAAATTTCGCTACCCCCTCCAACAATATCTGCTTCTTTCCAATAGCTCAACAGGCGAAGGGTACACCTGATAGCAGTTGCAATCCAAACCTTCTAATTAGCTCAAACATGAGGCCCACACAAGCCAATAAAAGAAATAAACTACAGTACCGATGGCCGCAGTCCAAGGCTGTAATCTAATGCAGATAGTTCTTTCCACGATAATCCAGAGTTTGAGGCGGCTGTGTGATTTTTCTAAGGTAGAATATAGCGTTTCCAATATAGATGACCAAATATTATCGTAAAAACATTGTGTGCACCAACATACCTCCGTTTGTAGTCGATCAACCATATGGTTCACATACACTAAGAGAGCATCTAACATAACAGATGTGAATTGCTTGCAGAATAGAGAGTTGGGTTCGGGAATGAATTCTATTCAATATGAAAAGATATGGTGAGCGATCTCAATTGTGTGATTGTCAATGAAAAGAATCAGTTATAAAACGTACTCTGCTTAAAACCGCGACAACATCTTCGAATAGATTACTACAAAGTCATAGTTAACCCAAAGATCAACCATGAAAGTCGGCTCCCTGGCAAGCTGTCCCAACGATTCGAGGAGTAGCTCGCGTACTTCCCCAGTAGCAACTGTAGCGTCACTACTTCCGCGAATAGATTTATCGCGTAACGTATTGAGTGGCGTTGAGGTTCCTGACGCATGAGGAGAATCGTTACCATCAAGCATGAGAGATATGTCTGTATTAAAGGCAGCACTAGGTAATGCGCTGGCGGGAGTTAATCTTTCAATTAAGAAGGATAAATATAGTTCTTGTTGAAACTTCAAATGTGGCCGAAGTGTATCAAATACAGTTGAATTTTGCGGAGCGTGAGAGTAAGTAAAGCAATGTTCTCTCTACGAGCCAGCTATTGATATAAAAAATAATGATTAATTTGACGTAAAGTTGACCTTAGCAGATTATATTATTAATAAGTTTTATCGAATCACCTGAAATAAGGATTTACACAGATCATCGACAACGAGGTTCCTCAAACTTTCGAATCGACCCATTGTTCGACCACCAACTTCAAAAGCAACATTGAGAATACTCAAGGCCATAAGACGCATTGTATCTGTATGCTGATGATCATGCGGATTCAATAGAGATATGAGGACTCGCAATAGCTCTCTTATCGATGGTAAACCAAATGGTCGAGGTTCTGTTAAATAAAGACAAGCCTTAGTATATTTGCGCGTATGAAAGCAACAACGTTCAATGTGGGCATGTAACCATTGTTTATTTACCATTATCTTCTTCCTCATCGGCTACGTCGGTAAGGGCAGCTATTATACGAACTGATTGATAAGTAACTTGTCGGTATATCGAGTGAACATCTTAGTAACAAAGAAACGATCGGTTCACCGTCTTGTGTTTGATTGCCAACGTCGTTCGTTGTAACCGATGGGCTTGTGTGTTCAGCGTTCTCTCTTGAATCTGCAAATATTCATTATCATTGACTTCCTCCGTCGCCGATACAGACAAGTTATTAAGATTAGTCATAAGATTTGGTATCTCATTCTCATTGTTTGGAGAAAGAGGAAGATGAGGCGATTTAGGATCAGGTGGTGCCATTCGCACTTGAGAATCTAAAGATGGCGCATTGCTATTCCCTTCGTCTTCACTAGAAGGTGAATTGTCCGAATCTTCACTCAAATCTTTAAGTCTGAGTGAATAAGATAAGCGTTTTTATTCAGATATTTTGTCTATTAACGTTTTGCAGAGGCTTGTTTCAAAACATACCTCTGGAACGTTGTTTGAATCATAACAACCATTGTATGCTCCGCCGAACGTCTAAGCATTTCTGAAAATAGTATTAAATGAGCAAAATTGCAATCGATTTATTAAACACCCATCATATACAGAACTATTTGCATCATGCAAAGCATTACCACTAAGGCGCATTTGACAACACAAGCTCAATCCAGAGATTCGTCACTCAAAATTCACTCGTCAGTGCAAGACGTCGCACTTGCAAAATCTTAAGTAATACAAATTCATCCGAGACCGAGTCACTCGCTTCAAATTTGCAATGAGTTGCGGCATTTGGGAGGTTGGGCGATTTCTTGTTTATAATCGCATAAGTCAACAGTTTCTCTACACTGCTTAAAGCTGTTGAGGTTATGGGACCATTAGTATCTCCTGAACGTATGACTTCTAAAAACGGTTCCAGCAATGATACGGCATCAAGTTCTTGCAGGTCTACACAAAGAAGGAAATATTTTGTTAACTAAAGATGCAATTTTATTTTGACGGCGCGGACACATATCTACCTGATACACTAGCAAGCTGCTTTCTTAAATTCGTAAAACCCACCATCAGAGGGCTCTCCTAAGAGTGGACACGTTGACGGAGGGCATCAACTTTTCACTTCCCACTGCTGTCTAATTGAAGTAATTTCTGAATTTCTTGAGCCTTTATTACGCGTAAGGTTTTTTCAATGTACCTGATTTCTGTAGCCAACGTCATCGGTCATGGGGCTTCTTCCTCGTAAACCCATACTCATTCCTAAACTACCCATATTCAGACTGCTAACGCTCATTCCAGACCACCGCGAATTTTGCGCATAGTACTGGCGACGGCAATGATTTCTGCGTGTACCAGTTGCGACCAACTCAGCTCGCAATTTGGTTGAACTGGTTTTTCATCGCTTTGAGTTGTTGTCCGGGGTTGAGGTACCTGTTGCTGACCTTGTCTCTTTGAGGTGCACTCTATAGGAAGTTTCAGATGTGACGTCCTTTCCTTCAACGATATGCTATTTCTACGCGCAACGCAAACCTGGTCATCTGTGCGACAACAGATTGACCAATATAAGTATTGATACCATTATACTGCAATTACGAATGAACGCATTTCGATCAAACGGAAAATAATATTAATATATGACGTGGCTTTTCAATAAATGTTTACTTATTATTGTCGCGTTGATAACGTGCCATCCGCATGGTATCTACTTTTCTCTTTCCTTGTTTCCGCCATATAATCGTCTTTTTCTTCTTCCTGCCTTATAAGGCAGATGTCTGGTTTAGGTTCTATATCAAAATCCCGACAGCCCATTTGCTCTCCGAGTTTTATTCAATTAAATCCTGATAATAATAATGTTAGAGCCAACGTGAGCACCCCGCATTACTGGATGTGGCATAGTAAATAGCGTTGACGGCTATTGTTGATGATAAAGAAACATATGCGGCAGTCAGTCTGTGTAATTAAGGACTCATTTCATCTGTAATTTAGTACTTGGAGCATCAAGCTGAGCTTTCAGTCCAGATGTCGTTTTTATAACTACTGTAATGCAGTACAATTAATCCAATAAAACATCGACACGATTCAGTCCGAAATAAGGCATATTTATTTCGCTATTATCACTTAACGTGCTTCGAGCTCTGTTCATCATACAATACAATTACGTGTGTCGTGTGAAAATTTGATAACGCTGCGCTGAAATTGGATGACATACGGGGAGTACCAAAAGTATTGCACACTTTTATTTTTAGCGATAAAAAAAAACTTGTTATTAAGACAACTATGTATATGGTTATAGTAAAATTTGCAATAGTAAATTATGATGCAACACATATTTTATAAATATTCGGAATCAATACCTTAGCGTTAGCAGCACAGCCTGGTATTGATCACACCAACGCTAAGCCACGATATACTTTTTCGGAATCGCTTCCCAAATTCTCGAGTTCACCGGTTAAGGCGGTTGCCATTATGTAACTATGGGAGCACTTGAAATGAAGAAACTCGACGTGTGAACTGGTGTATTGTCTTCGTGGGAAAATTCTTTGCGTGTAGATTGTATAAGTGGAAATTGTATTGCATATTACTATATTTTGATTAACCTTCTACGGATCGTATGGGTCGTGGTAAGAAATAACTTTGCACAAAAGGAAAGCATTCTTGCGGAATAAATTAGGCCACGACAGTGCAGACATTGCAAAAGTGAACAACAAATACAAGACATTTTGCGGCTTATGAATCAGGAGAAACTTTCCAAAAAATAAAGATTGAAGATTATGGTTCTCAAAAATAAGGAAACAAGGCGGCAGAAATTGCCAATATATTTTCTGCTAAATAAACAAACAAGAAAATTCACTTTCTTGTATTTTTCGAAAAAAATCCCATTGATTTCAGCAATCGATCAATACGAAACGACTTGCTTGGGCAATAGAAAGAAGACATTAGACTTTAGCAGATTGGAAAAAGATAATCTGGACAGATGAGTCTACGTTTTCATAATTTCAACAACCTGACCGAGAAAGAGGAATTTCATAAAGATCAACGGTAAAACAATCTTCACCACAAAGAATGGTTTGGGTTCTTTTAAGATCAGGTGACTCTAACTGTATTGATAGTCATATGATCAATAATTTAGTCATCAATAATATATGTTACACGATAAGTTTTTATTAAAGTGTAATAATAATAATAATAAATAATGAATTACTGTTATTAAAATAAGATTTAACTTTTTTTGTTAACGTTTGACTCAAGTTGATCAGATTCAGATATTTACGAAACAAGTCAGACAACTGTTCGAGCATCTTTTATCTTCACATATGGTATTTCTTCTCGAGACTCATCACTATTGTCTTCATAAATTTGTGACCTTTGTGAGATGTTTATACTGACATAATACAGTAATAAGTAGTAAAAACATTTATTATTTTCGCTACAACATAGTAAATCGCTACACTATGTGCTATGCACAGTATAAAATTGGGCATTCATTGGTTTTATACAATAATTGTGACTGTGTAGAGGGATTTATATAGAGACGTCATAGTAAACGGGATCCAAAATCGGGTGACTGTGATCATCACTATAATGTGACTCTATAGGAGGAAAATTGCCTGGCAATTTTAATCCTGCATGTTACACAGAGAATAAAGTGTTTATCCGCCGCTTTACCGTGATCTGCATAATAATAACCTTGAATAATAATAGCCGTCCAAAAATACCATGTTTATTCTTGGTCATAATTCAAAATTATAATACTTATCATTTTTTGTCAGAAACAATGAAATAATAATAAATACGTCAGCTTTCCTTTATTTTGTTCCTGTAACTAAATGTAGATGATCTGCAATTGACTACCAATCATATTTAGTTTAAATTGCAGAATATGGTAATAAGCCTTTGTTATATTTCAATAAGTAGCAGGTGGCGGAAAATAAGTGGTCAATATTGTATATTATCAGCCAGATGCTCTCTCTCTGGGATGTGTCTTTATTTTTTCATGCGTATTTTGTGTTTCCTTCATTACCTACTAAATTGGAACATAAACAGGTGAATAGGACCCTATAATAATAAATCATTACTATTACACAAAAATTGGGAAGTGCTTATTTTTGGAACTATTGGTAGTGACATTATGATAATAATTTCGTGATAACCGAATCGTTCGTTGTGAGATAGATGCTTATTTTCGGAGGTAAAAAACTTTGGGGAGGTGCTTATTTTTGGAACTATTGGTAGTGACATCATAACTCATAGTTTCTACTGATAAATTTCGTGATAACTTAATTGATCGAATCGTTCGTTGTGAGATAGATGCTTATTTTCGGAGGTATAAACTTTGGGGAGGTGTTTATTTTTGGAACCATTGGTAGTGACATCATAACTCATGGTTTTCTACTGATAAATTTCGTGATAACTTAATTGATCGTTTGTGAGGTGAGATGCCGAGTACTTACTATTACCCAATTATTGCATAATGAAATTGATTACAGTACTATAAATATAATATGAGTGATGATATTGATAATATGAATATGAACAGTTACAACATTTAGAAGGATTGTAATAATAATTACAGCAATATAAATATATACACAGTCACATGTTGTAGAAACAAAGGATTGTGTTAAAATCAATCCCATTATATTTCTTACTTCCCCTTGTCTTCGTAAACCCGCTTGTGCGTCATTTTTGTTTAACAAAAGTTTTCAGGGGGCGGTAAGCCATAAACGTAATCGTTCAATTTTCATCTATTGTTGGCTTCGATAAACTTCCAACACCTGATTACAACGGGAAAAGCATAAAAACTTGACCTGTTCGTGACGGTTGTTCAATATATTTACTCGACACTGTCCTCTCAAGAAGAAAATATGATGCTTACACTTCTCTTACTCTTGGCCTTCCCTATACCTTTGTTTATCTTCGGAACTTGCTGCGGGCCATTATGGCTGTCGTTATTAATTATTCTACTATGCAGGTGTGCTATAGTTGCGACCCTTTAACTTGTAAGGAAAAAGCAGTTTGCACGTCTCCTAACAACGAGGTATTTTGTCTAGAAAACGCTCCTTCCGAAAAAGAAATATGCGAACTCCGACCGACTTTAGCGACGAAGTGAAGGCGTTAATCAGTGAATGGGGGAAGATTATAATAAACAAACACAAAAACGACAAGTTTGACGACGATGATGACGACGATGATGACGACGACGACAATGACAACGAAGACGAAATTTTCTCCAGTGATCCTCTGTTGATCATTGAGTATAACCAGCCGGGCTTGGCTGTCAGAAATATCACGGAGGCTGACGTTGCCCAGCGTATGTAAATTTTACAATATTCTTTTTTAAAAGTTTTCTTTCTAACCTGCCTGCTAATTTTACTTTTTGAATCAGTCATCCGCGGCACTCCGGGGTATAGGGTGAATGATATATTCCCTAACAGCCCACCCGCACGCCTACAATCAAACATGGTCTTTTCGTTAAACAGTGGACAATTAGTCGCAGATGTTTTAGAAAGGTTATACGATAATTACCACCTGGGACGACAATATCCTATCGTTGGACGGGTATACGTGGTAACCTTCCGTAGAGCTGGGACATTTGAAGCAGTAGAAATGTATCATATATTCGATTGATAAAAATAGTAATAGGTATTCGGATTTACTATACGATAAAAATTTTATTGAAATTCCTTGTCGTTATCGAGATCACTATTATTATTATTTCGTCGTTTATATTCCTTTGGCTCTTGCGAGCGCTCTTTTCCACAACCCTACTATTACTTTTGATGTTATTTTTTCTTTAAAATCCTGTAAAACTTATTTCTAGCATTTGAAAAAGAAAAAGATTTGAATGTGGGCCTGACTTCGCTACTTTACCTTTTACTACCGCCAATCGGCTGAAGTAAGGAGGGTTAAAAAAAAAACTTGATGACCGTACTGCTTTGCTATTCAACACAAGCAAACGGAACCTTTTCTTTGCTTTTTTTGTATAAGTTACAGAAGCTCAGGTCTTTGTAGTTTGTCTGAAAAAAAAAATTTGGATTGTTAAGATACTCCATTACCACGTATACAAAAAATTCCTAATATAAATAATAATAAAAGTAAAAAATTATGGCAAGCCCGAACTTACTTAGTAAGTATAGAACGCAAGTGGTCAACCTCGGTGAGAGTGAAGGAATCTGTTGAAATTTGGACATATCCTAGAGTTTTATGGTAATAGGCGTCTTGCGTTTGTTCTTCGGGCTTGATTTCATTAATTCTTCAATATTTCTAATATTGCATCGCTTTGCTTCATTAATTCAAAATTCAGCTCTGGTGGGCAGTTGTTTTCGTCTGGTTGTAATTTAGGTCGTCCAATGTCTGATGACTCGAAAACGTGCCGTCGTTGCGCAATCAGACAACTCTCAGAAACCCCCGTAACCAGAGCAACTCGCTTTGCGTAATGTCATGTTTTGATTTTGCTTGTCGATGGATATAGCTCCAGAAAAGTATCTGTGGGTGTTTATTATTATCCACTTTTCGTTCTCTGTTAGAAGTGCGGAACTTCGGTTTACTCGACTAGACATGAGAGAAACAATAAATTTTGCGCACCGGACCATATATATATAAAACTATTTAATTATGGCAATACGCATTGTTGTATGTTATAGAAAAAGTTCTGTTATATCTTTATTGTAGACGTAGTTCAAGATTGTACAAATTCAAATTCGTCAAGCGTTGTCTGACGTGCTAATTCTAGACTGTAATGTGGTATCGTTCTTCTCAATTTCGTCAAACATCTAACAACAGACAATTCTACTCCAAGCTTTTTCTGAGCAATATACGCCAAAACACTATCAATTCCAACTAAAATCACTTTTGACGACGACGTTTTGATCTTCCTGCTAACGATGTTCTTTATTTGTCAATATTTCACTCACTGTTGACTTTCCATAATGAAAAAGCCTAGCAAGTTCTTTGTTGATAAAAGGAGGGTTATTTAATTTTTTCTGACATGGGTTTTTTTTGCGCTCCAGTTAACGCTGTTCTGAAATTGTTGGTTTTATATTTCGCGGTTTCAGTGACAAAAGAATCAGTAAATTGAGCACTTGACAACTCCATTCAAGGATTAGATAGAAAATACAATCGCAGGGAAGTAGTTCCGCTTTCAGTTTACCCTTCAGCAGTGGAAGGAGGGTGGGGGAAAAGAGAGAACCTGTTTGAATTGAATTTAAAACTAGCAACGAAAATTGAAATATCTGATTCAAGGACTACACGCGTTCTTATGATCTGGAACTTCGCCTTGCTCAGCCATGTTCGATCTCAATCATAATTACTCCAGTAATTAGTTATTACTTCTATACTTATATGACATGAAAAAGCTAGAATACGATAATTGATTATAAGAGTCGATCGACTATGTTAGAGTATTTATTTCGTCGTTTCATAAATTAATGATTTCGGCTTGATTGTCCCCGACTTTC